AAAAAGAAAACGTGGCAAGAGCATAACGATTGTCGTTACATTTTAATTTTTGAACATCGTAGTGGACAGAAAAGCAAGAACGCTGGAAGAGCGTCCCATAGGCGAGATTGATTTGTTTTGACGGTTTATCAACCTTTTGCAGGTTATTTAAAGCCAGAGATTATTTACTGATACAAGTCCAACAAATTAGACCATAGCTTGGAGAGATGATGCTGTTTCACACCTTTTTTTCAATGGTCTTTGCGCGTAAGTGAATATGAGGAACCCGACTGGAATTCGAACTCGGCTCCCCGATTTCCATTTCGATAGTTCGTTATCCTTTACACCACTCGAATAACAAAGGTTGCAGGACTGGTACTGACCAGACTCATCATTGCTTAAGTAGAAAGACAGGCGTAGATCTCTCAGTCTACGTCTGTTTATAAATATTAAACTTCTCAAATGAATTTATTTTTCTAAATTTAAACTATTATCATGAAGATTTTTATCATATTAGTTTAAGTATTTAATTTAAAACACTAGAATGAATAAATTATGTACCTTTACTTGAGAACGAATATGGTGGTGATAAAAGATATTTTTCTCCCAGTTTTAAATGGCTGTTATGGCTCAAGACTGTTCTTTTATAATTCTAATACTCAGGGTAGTCAGAAGATTTTACTAATCAAAAAGGGGAAAATGAATATTAAATCAGACATTAATTGAGAAAAAGTTGTCAAGGCGTTGAATTTCGTTGATCGATAAAACCATTTGATGATTAAAGTTCGCCATCAATTAATGAATCTTTTTAAGCAAGATTTTTCATACTAAAAGCAAGATGTGCACAATCTGAATGTTTCCTCAGTATCTTTGCGAATATAAACATTATATATTTTTTTTTATATGATCCTGGACACTTCCCAAACTAGACAAGAGGAGAACATAGAAATTCGAATTAATCTGAAGTTTTAAATGATAATGAATAAAGCCTTTTGCCCCAGATATATATATATATATATTTTTTATAAGAAAGTTGTCCTAAACGGATATTTTTCTAGATCTGTTTACATTAATGCTACTTTCCCCACCGGCCTCTCTCCTTGGATCGACATTGTTCCTAATTTTCATCAGTAACCCACTTGATGGCATCAGTTCTCAATCCCGCATCAGTGCTCATGAAACTATTCTATTTTTCTCTGTCTATATTTCTGAGGACATATGACACATTTGATAAAGGCGTTAGTTCGATTCAGTGACAGGATCCAAAGAGTGCGAGTTCAATACCTGGTTAAGACTGTGGAGAACTTGACATCCATTTGATTGACATGGTACGTGGGACTAGAACAGTCTACCCCAGCGAAATAAACTGTTCAGTTCGAGGGGAATTAACAGGAGATAACTGATAACTGACATCCATTAAAACATGGCACGTGGAACTTGATCCATCTACCCCAGAGAGCGAAATAAAGGGGTCAGTTCGAAATTCCAACCACCTGAAGAAGGTCGGAGCCTACAACGGCCGAAACGTTGTAATAAATATAAGGACAATAGTCCGAATAGAGCTTTCTTTTAAGTAACACCAATTTAAAGATTAATTAATGTGTTTTTTGAAACACCTTTAAAATCTCGCAGAAAAACATTTTTCTCACATGGTGGGTATTTTATGAGGTGTTGACAATACCCAGAAATACACATGTCCTCAATACATAAACAGATGTCCTCAAGGACACATGGCACAGTGGATAAAGACGTTAGTTAGATCCAGTGACAAGACCCACACAGTTGTGAGTTCAATACCTGGTTAAAGCAGTGGAGAACTTGGAGAGGGGAATTAACAAGAGATAACTGATAACTGACATCTATTAAAACATGGCACGTGAAACTAGAACAGTCTACCCCAGTGAGCGAAATAATTGGTTCAGTTCGACATTCCAACCACCTAAAGAAGGCCGGAGTATACACCGGCCAAAACCTTGTAATAAATATGGCGACAAAGATGAGGACAATAGTGTACATAATACCTCATCTCAGAAATATAGACAGATACTGAAAGGCCGAAACGTTGTAATAAATATGTCGACAAAGATGAGGACAATAGTCCGAATAATGTAAATAGTGTACATAATACTTCATCTCAGAAACATAGACAGATACTGAACGGCAACATGACGATAATAGTCCGAATAATGTGTATTTTTCTCTCATTGATATTCTTGCTACGTGGGGTGTTCTCATGTAAGTGTTGAGAATTTTTACGATTGACAAGTGAAGGGAGATTTTTGACAAAGACTTTTATGGACACGTTGAAGCTGCATGCAGTATTAATGTGTTTTTAGCGTTTGCGTTTTAAGAACTTTTTTGAATCATTTCACCCCAGCAAGGCAATTATGCCACTGAGACGTACGGAGTTACTTGGTGTGAAAGAGAATGAGAAAACTTAATTGAAGAGAATGGAAAATAAAAGAAGAGAAGAGCGGTTGACTTTGCATTTAAATTTTCGAAGACTGTAGATGGCAAAGAAACAAGAAGCCGCAAGAGCAGGCGACAAAAGAAATAATAACAAAACAACTTATATTTTCATCTAGCAACAGTAAAATTATGAGATCTAGTTTCCAATCAAGTAGTATGTATAAATCCATGCAGTCGTGGTCATAAGGGAGAAAGCAATATTTATTTTGATATAATACAAAAATTTGGCACAAGATCAAGTGGAGGGATAAGAGAAGGCTTGTTTCATTCCGTCTTATCTTAAATTTAGCTTGCCATAATTACTGACCAAACTATACCAGAGTATTCCTTACACCAAAGCAACACATTCTTACTTACCATTCTTACTACAGCCAATATAATACCTCAAAGTGTCAATGTAGTCTTAGAGGAAAGTAATATTAATTATGTTGTAATACAAAAATGTGAAGGCGCTGTCTTCTAGGGTATTATACCAGGCGTTTGTTAAGGGTTCCGTTCGTGTTGAGCTGATTGACTGTCCCTCTCTTACAAAGCAGGAGGCTCGCTCAGTATGGACTAGGGCGCCCAGATTGAAATTCCTCAATAACGATGAGGCAACACTCACCTGGCTTGTAATTCGTGGGGCCCTTAGTTCAGCGGACTTGGAGAAATCTCCAAACTACTGACGCTGTGATAGGGAAATCGAAACCCTAGGTCACGCCTTCTTTCATTGCAGGATCATAGTGCCAGTTTGTTGAAGGCCTCATGGTACGCATACTGCAAGGAAAGTTCTGTGTCCTTGAGTTATGTTCTGTTTGTAGCAATGTAGTGCCACCGCTGACTAAGGCTGAACATTATGTGTTCTTTTGCTTGCTACGGTTTATGGAAGTTGTGATTTGGAAGGCATTTCAGAAGGAATTCTATGAAGGCGAGAAGTTCACTTCTTCCCTGCTGATCTTGTACTTTAAGCAACAGATTAAAGTCAAGAATAAGACGAAAAAGCGGTGGCTCACTTCATCAGAATTTGACAAAATGCGGGTGGATTTTGTGCGTTTTTGTCGAGTGAAAGGTGATGACTTAGAGTGGCACTTTTGATGCCGGATAGGCATCAGGATGTTGTTCTCGCTGTGTTGAACATAGGCTAACCCCGCCCGGATTAAGTTAGTTTAAGATTGTTTTTGTTTCTTCATTTCAGTTAACTTAGCTAGGTTATGTATGCTAATTAGCCCCTTTTAATTCTGTCCCCATTTTTCTTTGCTTTAGTTCACCATCATGTCCCCCGTCATTGATGTCAATTCTCTGGTAGATGCGGGTCACCTTTCGTTTCAGGTGTTTTTTTTTTTTTTTGTTTTTTTTTTCGTATTTGTTTTGTGTCTGAATGAGTGTGTGTTTGTGTGAGTGCTTGAGATGAATGGATGTTTTATAGAGTCCCGCATTGATTTCGTCCAGTTAACTGATGTTTCTGCCACATTTAAGAGGGGGTGGGTATTACTAACATTATTTTGTTTAGTTTCTTGTAAATAGTTTTGTTTTTATATTGTAAATAATTAGATTTTAAATTGTTTTATTCCCCTCCACACACAGACAATGAATTTTACACATGGGGACTAGTTAGGATTTTCATAGAGACAATGAATTTTACACATGGGGACTAGTTAGGATTTTCATAGAGACAATGAGGTATTACGGTGAATGTAGTAAGAAATGTAAGTAAGAATGTTTTGATGTTAGGAATATTGTGGTATGTCTAGGTCAGTGGTTGTGGCTAACTAAGTTCAAAGTTAAGAAAACCGTCCTTTTCCTCATTCCCCATGTTGGCCTTGTGCCATATTTTTTTAAATATTTACAAATAAATATCGTCTTCGCTATGGTGCCTAGACATTATCAGAGGGCTTGGATTAATGCAACAAATCATGCTTAAGAACGCTTAAGAAGAACTAGGGATTAGAGGGAGAATTGGGATCACAGAATCAACAACACTGTTAAAATCTGCTACAATACTGAGGAGGGTCCTGGATTACCAAGGAAACGTCTAGTAACTTTTGATTTTTGTAAAATTTTCTCTTGATGTAAAAGCAAGGTTGAAAAATAATAATTTAAGTTAACGCCAATGTCAAATATAAATTTGAAAACAAATCGTTTCATTACACTTCTAACGTCCTGGTTCCTTAATAAGGCTTCTCTTTTTTCTTATTCTTAGAAACCAAGTAATTCCTTGTGTCTTAGAGGCTTTATCGCCTTGCATGGGGTGAAATGATTAAAAAAATATCTTGAAACGATATGTCTAATTTTTTTTTTCCTTCTTAGAATTCTATTTTAAAACACTTTTCCTCATCGACCTTCCACATATATAATCAGAAATATTTATAAAAGAGTGGGGAATGTATCTAAAGAAGCGTTTTAAATTATGTCGAGTAAAAATTAGATTAGCTACGGTGAGGCATCAAAGAATGTTCTCTTTTCGATTGCTAATCGGCAAAGCTCAGAGGACATATTTCCACTCAGGAGGTTTTAGCGAAATACAAAGTATTATTGGTTTTTTGGCTATTTTCGGATTTCATTTCTGTTTACTTTCATAAAAATGAACATATTTTTCTCGGCAAATCTCGGTTTGACAGCCGTGTGACCAATTTCGGTCTCTCGACAGACGGCTTGGACTTCTGCCAAGTTCTTTGCTTCTTCACCTCGTTATCGCGTTTCTGGAATCCCTGTAGTCTTGCTCGAAAGTCTTCCATATCACAAATATTGCATAGACGTCTTTTTGAAAAAGCCTTTTTAATTTATTTTGAAACGTTCTGTGTGTTAATCTCAAATAAAAAAAACCTCTATGTACGGATCAGTTATAATAAATTTACTATAAAATCTAAGGAAACTGAGCATAGAATAAACAGCGCTAAGGCTTGTTTTACCCAACAGCGCAAATTGCAACAAAAAGAAAACATTAGCCCCTAACTATAAAATATATATGGTTATCTTGTAAAAAAATGTCTGATACAAATATGATTTCTCAAAAATAATCGTATTATTATTTCGCGTCTGTAATTATTTTATGCAAAAACACACACACAATCATATATATATATATATATATATATATATATATATAGAGAGAGAGAGAGAGATGCTCTACCGAAATAGATAGATATGACTAGATTTAGATAGATATAAACAGACTTTGATATATATATATATGTATAGAGATAGATAGATAGATAGATAGATAGATAGATAGATAGATATGACAATCTTTCAATTGATATAAACAGATAGATAGATAGATAGATAGATAGATAGATAGATATGACTAGATTTAGGTAGATTTAAACAGACTTAGATAGATAGATAGATAGATATGACTAGATTTAGGTAGATATAAACAGACTTAGATAGATAGATAGATAGATATGACTAGATTTAGGTAGATATATAACAGACTTAGATAGATAGATAGATAGATAGATAGATAGATAGATAGATAGATATGACTAGATTTCGATTGATATAAACAGATAGATAGATAGATAGATAGATAGATAGATAGACAACAATAAAGATAAGGAAACTATCCTGCCTGTAAATAATGTAAATAATAATAACTCCCCATCTCAGAAATTCAGATCGAAATTTGCTCTGTCTGTTGGAAACTCTGTTTTTTTTCCTGGTTACTGTGCAGAAACGCGCAACTATTTCAGCCACCAAAGCAGCTATAAAAAAGCACAAGTCACGCTTCAGTTTTCTTCTCTGTTAATTCCATATGGCAACCAGCAAGAATCTAGTAATCAATTCCAGACTAATTAAATTATTGCTAAGTTTCAAGGAAATCGCAACGCGTTTTCCATCTCTTGTTCTATATGGCTTAAAAACCGCCAAAGGTGGCTCTTCTGAAGAAGACTCAAACACCGTATCATTTGAAACCTCATCAGAGTAAAGATAATCAAGAAATGAGATTCTCCATTCTGTTTAATCTCATCCTTCTCATCCTATGCTCTCTGTGTGTGTACAATCACAAATGTGAAGAAATGGACCTTTGTTCATTTAAACATACCAAATCCCAAAACGAATCTAATTAACTAATAGAAAATAACGTCCTTGCTTTCCCTCCTAGGCTCAGTGTGTTGATGAGAGGTGGGGCTATGCTGATGATATAGGGATTCATATTTGTGATAAGAATAATCTTGAATCAACATACTTTTCCAAGTGTTTCAAGAAGTACGTCTTGTGATAAACCAACCTAAAACAATGACCTGGAATTGAAATAAGAGTCGTAACAACACCTACTTTAAATCCATCATAAATATTCCGAAGCGGTTTATCATGCCATCGTTTCTGTCTCTGGTCGGATGCATTTGCTTTTGCTTTCATTTTAAGTATTTTGCAGCTTCAGTTTGTGTATTGTGCTTTACTTGTATTTCTTCACCTAATTGGATTTCATTTTGAACTTGGCTTCCTTTATTACTGAATAATCTCGTTTACGATTTTTATGTTTTTTTTACACATCTCATCATCTAGTCTTCTGTAGTTTCCATGTATCTTTGTAAGCCAATTGTTCTAGTCTTGTAAAACAGTTCTAGTTGAACTAATCCTCTGCCTCCTCCGGATCTGGACACATACAGACGATTAACGTCAGCTTTGGGATAATGCTTGCTGTGGCTGGTGACAAGCTTTCTCGTTTTGGCACCCATTCGCCTAATTTCAGCTATGGTCCAGTTAAGAATGTTGAAACTGGATTGAACCACAGGGACAGCCAAGGTGTTTATGACTGATATTTTGTCTTTAGAATTCATCTCGGTATTCATTACCAGAGGTATACGCCTGTAGTATTCATTTCTTTCCATCTCTTTCACTTGGTTATGCTGTATTCCATCTCATTCGCTAATTCCTAGATACCTATAAGCTTCTTCTTCTTCTTCTTCTTCCAGTTTTCTAATCTTTGTGACAAAAACTAAATCTATTAAGTGTGTTTCTGCCATTCTCCTTTTCTTGAATGTTACTTTTGCACATTTATCTAATCCGAAATCCATATCTATGTCTTCACTGAAAAATCTCACAGTATTGAGGAGAACCTTCAACTCATTGTCGTCTTTGGCAAAGAGTTTGAGATCATCCCTGTAGAATAGATATGTGAGTACTTTCTTGTTTAGTTTGTAACCATAGCTATTGTGATTTAGGTCATGTGTAAGTGGAATTAAGGACAGACAAAACAGAAGGGGTGACGGGGAGTCTCCTTGAAAGATTCCACGTCGGATATTCAGGAGGGTGGAGATGGCATTGCCTGTGATGTGACTCCACATTCCCATGTTGTGTTTAAGAAAATTTACTATCACAGGGGAGACTTTGTACATTTCCAAAGTCTTAAGCATCCAAGAGTGTGCATAGTACCAAGGGCTTTATGGTAATCAATCTACGCTGCGCTAAGATTTCTACATCATCTCCTGCAATTTTCCAGGATCATTTTGTTTATCAGTAGTTGAGCATTGCAACCATATGAACCTCTCTTGATTCCCTTCTGTTCCAGTGGAAGAATGTTGTTTGTTTCGAGAAAAGAGTAAGTACGCTTCGTCAGACGGGATCAATTTATACGTGGATTTTTCGGATCATCCGTTTCACTCGTTTTTAGCCTGAAATATGTAATAGCTTCAGTGATTCATTCTGGGATTTCATTGGGATTATCTATAATCATTGATAGAATTTGTGCAAGGTTTTTATCGTCTGATGCCAGAAATTGGGCAACTTAGGATTTCAATCTTGGGGACTTCGTTAGAGCTTGCCTAATATTATTCATGGTTATATTTTCCAACTCTGGCAAGAGTTTATCCAACATTTGTTCTAAATTAGGGTTATATTCCTTTGGTTATATTCCTTTGGTTATATTCCTTTGGGCTTCTCTAAATATATTCTCCCATAATTTCTGCACATTGTTAATAGATGATGGCTTTTTTTTACATGTATAGTTGCTTTTTGAATTTCCGTGTAAAATTTCTTAAGGTCTGTTTGGTTTGGTTTATTTTGTTTAACGGCATATCAACCTCAATGGGTTATTTAATGCCCACAACATTATTAGGATAGATTCGTATGAATAGAATATGTATTGTTTGGTTTAGATTGGTTTGGTTTATTTTGTTTTACGGCATATCAACCTCAATGGACAATTTAATGCCGACAACATTTTTAGGATAGATTCGTATGAATAGAGTATGTATTGTTTGGTTTAGATTGGTTTGGTTTAAATTGTTTTTTTTTCATATCAACCTCAATGGACAATTTAATGCCGACAACATTTTTAGGATAGATTCGTATGAATAGAATATGTATTGTTTGGTTTAGATTGGTTTGGTTTATTTTGTTTTACGGCATATCAACCTCAATGGACAATTTAATGCCGACAACATTTTTAGGATAGATTCGTATGAATAGAGTATGTATTGTTTGGTTTACATTGGTTTGGTTTATTTTGTTTTACGGCATATCAACCTCAATGGGCCACCCAATGCCGACAAAAATATTTATTGCTGCAAATATTTATTTTTGTCAAAAATCTGTTTCCGGGAATATATTTCCCTCAAAATTGTATTGCTGACAACAATTTCCATCAAAAAAGTATTGCTGGTAATAAAAAAATATTTGCCCATAGCTTTTATTTTCTAGGTCAGGGCGGAGCCGGGAACACTAGCATTAAAATATAGCGGCTCATTCCCCTCAAAACCTCCCGACCAGAGGCCCCGCTGCTTAAGGTCCATTTGAAATATTTTATTTTGGAGATAGAACCAGGAACATTTATCGTATCGTCTTGTTCTCTGTTGCTTTAACTGCAGTTTCTGTTTCAGCATTTCCTTGATTGATACAATTTCATTTAGTGATTTAATTTTATATTTCCGCTTGATCTTCTTGCACTTGCGTGTTGAGATATTTCCGTTTCTAGTGATTTCATCTAATATAGAAATCTCTCATTTGATTTCCTTTATGTCTTGCATAAGTTTTACCATCCAAGTTGCTTCTCTTTGTCTGTTGTTTAATTTTTTCATTGTCTTGACAACAAGCTTCTTAGTAGCTGCTAAAGTTGTTGTGTATATGACATTGTTAATTTCTGTGATGTTTCCCACTCGTTGAAAGGACTTTGTCATATAAACTTTTGGGAGCTGGTCTCTGTCTGACAATTGTATCAGAGTTACTCTGCTGAGGTGTCGGATGACGTGGCTTCGGTGATTTCACCTCTGTGGTTTTCAAGTATTCTACCTTAATATATATATATATATATATATATATATATATATATATATATATATAAAAACAGTAAGATATATAATCCAGTGTTCTTATAGATATTTTATTTTTTTAAAATAATGCTCAATGTAAATTTAAAAAGCATTAATATTATAAATTGATTTAAAATATGGTTTTTTCCGCTACACTGTTCTAAGCATGTTTCAAAAATGGGAAGCTAAAAGCCCCGAATTTAATTTTGCAATTAAATTTTTTTACATTAAAAAAATTTCCTCCTCAAATTAGTAATTTTTTTAAATTACTCCAAAATTCGCTTGAGGAGGAAATGGAACTAATGTCTTAATATTTTTTGCAAAATTAAATCAATTAATTTATAATATATATATATATATATATATATATATATATATATATATATATATATATATATGTATATATGTATATATATATATATATATTACATTGTGTGTCATTTTTCAATTGGCTAAAAACTAAAATTTAAATTTTTACTCAATGAGAAGTCAGTCAAAAAGCAGAACATTGTCAGATGAGTACACCTGTAAAAATATACAACCGGAGGCAAAAAACTTTAATCAATACGATCCCTACCCATAAATATGCGCACACACACAGATACACACACACAATAATAATATATATATATATATATATATATATATATATATATATATATATATATAAGCAATTTTTTCATTGATGCATTTTGCATTAAATAATATAGACAAGTTTTGTCTATTTATTTTAATTAAGTTCCTTTCATATTCTCTGATAAGTTTAATAACATTATCGTTAAAAGACGAAAGGAAATCACCATATTGATACATGTTTAAATCCAATCTAAGCATTCGGCTTACATAAGCCATTATCAAAGATGACATTTACATTCCAATATATCAACCACGGACGAAGCAATAATGACCACGAGCTGCGACGCGTTTTTTCGCTTCCGCGTCTCGTATACACGAGTTTGTTGTTGCTTTGAAATTTTCATGCAACAAAAAGAGACTATCATTATTGTTTTGTCCGTGTATTGGTTGATATATTGAAATGTAATTGTCATCTTTGATAATGGCTTATGTAAGCCATAAAATTGAAGTAAGGGTCTAATTCAAGTAGACCCTTTTAAATATTAATAAAAATGTTTGCCTATCAGTTTTTCAGTCATTATACTTTTTGAATTGATTGGTTTTTGTCTGAAAACGTATTAAGATTTGTTTCTATTGAAGTGAACTTCTGGTATCTCTTTTTACATACACATTAATTTAGTCAAATATAAATTGATAATTACCCCTTAGCAAATACTGAGATATCCACAAGAGTAGGTCATTTAAAAAAAGTAAACGAATCCAGTACTACTGACAAGAAGGAAGAAAAAAAACGTAATGACTATATATATTGATGCAGATATATATATATTTGATGCATATATATATATATATATATAAAATGTTTGAATGAATATATATATATATATATATATATATATATATATTGATGCAGATATATATATATTGATGCATATATATATATATATTGATGCATATATATATATATTGATGCATATATATATATTTATGCAGATATATATATATATTGATGATGCATATATATATATTGATGCATATATATATATATATTGATGCATATATATATATATATATATATATATATATATATATATATATATATATATATATATATATATTGATGCATGTTTCATTAAATAGACAAGTTTTGTGTATTTATTTGAAGTAAGTTCCTTTCATATTGTCCTTTATTATTGTCCACAAACTCGCTTTCAAGACGCTTGACTCTACATTTAAATGATAACTCTAACATTTTTCGGCATTTAAAACAACATGCCTGCCAGCGTACACAATTCCGGAAAATCCTTGTTGAAAACACAATTATACTTAAACATGAAATCAATAAACAAAAACTTCAAATTCTTAAAGCTATATGCATAAAACAGTTGAAACCTAACCTGAACAAAATAAACTATGAAATCTACACAAATATTCTTAAATGCCTATAATTGATAACAGAAGCCATTGGTTTATACCAACGGCTTTCCATACTTAATACTTGTCGTTTTCACTATCGTGTAGGCATGTGTGACGTCACGAGCTGCGATGCGATTATCTTATGGCTTATGAAAGAATCAATATGGTGATTTCCTTTCGTCTTTCAATGATAATGATATTAAGCTTATCAGACAATATGAAAGGAACTTACTGAAATAGACAAAACTTATCTATATTATTTACTGAAAACTGCATCAATAAAAAATTGCTGCCTAAATAAACATTATATATATATATATATATATATATGAAGAAATTTTGAAAAAACAAACAAAAATCCTTAAATGTAGTTAAAATGAAAGAAATGTCGACGTCTGACGTTTCGGTTTAATAAACCTTTTTCAAGACAAAATTCATCAAAATACAATTCAGTTCAATATGACAAATACGATGGACATAAAAACACAAGTCTTATTCAGAACAGATAACTGAAAATTTTTAAAATGATCAGCCTTCCGTCTAACATGGTCACGCCGTCGTCACATGGGCGACGCTTTCATAACGTATTTGATGAATATTGTCTTGAAAAGGTTTATTAAACCGAAACGTCAGACGTCGACATTTTTTTCATTTTAACTACATTTAAGATTTTTTTTTTTTTTTCAAAATTTTTCATTCTGTCAGATTTATATCCATTTACACTTGCTTATTTATATATATATATATATATATATATATATATATATATATATATATATATATATATATTTCAACATTTTCTTATTACAAACGAAAGACAAGCCATGTAACTTTTTATATTTATATGCAATTTTCAAACCTAATTTAAGATGTCGAAATATTAACCAGTGTGTCTTTTCTTTTTCTTTTGTTAGATCACGCTTTTCTCGAAGTGTTATTATTATTATTATTATCATTAATAGTAATAATAATAATAATAATAATAAGAAGAAGAACAAGAACAAGAACAACAAGAAGAAGTAGCCAAAGAAATTTATTCAATAAACTATTGAATACTTTTACACCTTGAGTCTGTTTCATGCTTAAACACAATGAGAGAGACTGTTGCCTTTTGATGTTGGCCTTAGTGCCCACATTTATATTTACATATGCTCAATACCAGATATCCAGCACTTTAATTCATAGATATTGCATACATTAAAACTAATTTTTATCATATATATATATATATATATATATATATATATATATATATATATTTCAATTGAGCACTGTTGAGTGACAAGCTAAATCTATAAACAACAGCAACCTGCGCTAATGCAAAGCTCTTCAGTAAAATGAATAGAGCACTACGGCTGATTGGCATTTGTTTACATTCGAAAAAACAATACGCTAGATTTAGCTGCTTAACTCTGCCGAATGAAGAGAGCTGAGGAGTATAAAATCAGATTGATACCAACAACGGTGACAATAGCTAGGTAAGGTCAATCTCATTATTTATGACTTCTGATAGCAATAATCGTGGCAAATGTCAGGCAATTATCAATTTGTCTATGACTTTTTATATTAACCTGGTGGCAAAAGCCCGACAAGAATCCATAATACTCGGTGTAGCATTGAATACTAAACTGGTGGTAAATTCTGAGGTAGACTGTTCTAGCTCCACATTTAATGGATGGCAGTTATCTACTGTTAATTCCCCTTTGTATGTTCCCCACTGCTTCAACCGGGTATTGAACTCACACTCTTTGGGTCCTGTCACTGGATCAAACTAACGCCTTTATCCACTGTGCCATGTCTCCTTGAGGACATCTGTACGCGAATTTCTGGGTGTTATAAACCTAATGTCTTCAGTCACCATTTTTTACCAGTGCTCATATTGCAATTTTTGCTGTTATCATTGCATGTTTTTACGGATACACCAAAAATATGGAGACAAATATTTTAGGACTCTGTGGTTTGATTGATTTCCCTCATAAAACATTGGCAGCAGCAATTGTACCAATTTTGGTGATATGAAAAACTCTACGACAATTGTAAATTTCTTTCATCTTCATTATCGACAATTACAGAAAGCCACGGAATTAGAATTGCATAGGTCGAAAGGTACATTCTCTCACCTTGATGACAGCTCACACTTTCAGTCTATTTCCATAAACAACATAAAATATAACGTCTCTCTGATTCTCACAAGAAATATACTGCAGATATTCTTACCTCTCAGGTCCAGTAGAACCTTTCATCTTCATCTCTAGAAATAGTGTTCGATTAGTGGAGCTTTTAATACAGAAATTGTCACCAACTCAGGGAAGTGATAGTGAATGACAAGCTATGTATAAGATAATTCAACCTCATTCTATTGGTTTTGTTGTAAGGAAGTTTCAGTATATGATCAATATCATTTATCGATTTCTTCTGGCATTAAAATTGATTCTACATTGGTCTTTCTAGGCTGGAACCAATTTAGTTCTTGCCATAGATAAATAGAGGTCATAAAGTTAAGTGTATCGCGTCCCTGAAGACATTCATGTCAGACAGCACCTCTCCGTTGCATTAGCCGGATATTGAGTTTCAGGTTCACTGCAACTCTTAAGTAGAACTTACATATACAAGCCATTGTTAAATAAGCGGGAAAAGTGTTCAGCTCATTGTGTCTGTAGGATGGAAAACGGCTTAGCTCTTGGAACAAAATGCGATCGTACAAATCTCGCATGCAAAATACCTGACAGAAAAACATGGCCGATCCAAAAGCTACAATTTAAGAAGAATTTGATCTCGGAGCTCAGAGATTTTGCGAGATGAATGCGTGTCTTTTACAAATTTTCAAGCTTTAGACATTCGATAAAATGAAAATGAGTGAGAGAACATCCAAGAGGCAGAATAGGCCGACGAGACGACACGAGACGAGACGAGACGAAATGAGACTTGATGAGACGTAATGAGATGACACGAGACGAAATGAGACTAGATGAGATGAGTCGAGACGAGACGAGATGAGACGAGACGAGAAGAGACGAGATGAGATGACAAGACGAGACGAGACTAGATGAGAAGACGAAACGAGACTAGATGAGACGAGACGAGATGAAATGAGACGAGACGAGACGAGATGAGACAAGACAAGACGTGACGAGATGAGACGAGATAGGACGAGATGAGACAAGACGAGACGAGATGAGACGAGTCGAGACGAGATGAGACGAGAGGAGATGAGACAGGAGATGAGATGAGACGAGACGAGACGAGACGAGATAAGACGAGATGAGACGAAACGAGATAAGACGAGATGAGACGAGACGAAATGAGACGAGACGAGACGGTATGTTGTGTGTGTGGAGTTTCGTGCTAGTCTCACTGATTTAGTTTGAAAAGGTGAAAGGTTACAACTAGTAATCCAAACAACCGTATTTTTATGCTACACTATCACTCGAGGAAATACGTGAATAGTTCTTGGATGCTTTATCTAGACCAAAAATGAAGAAATTCTGCTGTGTCTGGGCTCGAGCTGCAAAATCTTCACTTTCCATCTTCGATAGGGTTTAAAATCATTCACGCAGTATTGGTGGGATAAGACTTATCGCCAACTTTACAGCGTTATTTTCCCCAGCCTCAACATGAAAAGACTATCGCTGATTTATAGCCATTCCGTCGCAAGTAACGAGATAAGATCCATTCCTTAGTTCCACCGTTACATCTAAGGCAGCCCATGATCCTTTCAGGATGTCGGCTAAACTTTATTTCCCTCGTTTTAGTAATATAGAAGATAGTTCAATTCAAACAGTCTTTTCCCAAGAACTGTTACTAAATTAAAAAAAACTCTCTGACGTTGACGCTTATCTGAACATTACAATCATAAGTCACATGGTTGTTCTTGGAACAGTGTTAAACTCTTTTTTTCAACATCGCTCGCCTTTGATCCATGACGCGAACTGATAGATAGATAGATAGATAGATAGATAGATAGATAGATAGATGTGAAGAAATAGACAGATATGAATAAATTCATAGATCCATACATATGAAGAAAAAGATAGATAGGATGAAACTGATAGATGTATATGAAAAAATAGATAGATAGATAGATAGATAGATAGATAGATAGATAGATAGATAGATAGATAGATATCAAAAAATTGATAGGTAGACAGAAATATTGATAGATCAGTAGATATGAAGACATAGATAGATACATACATTGATAGATATTAAACAAAAACAGATACATTCATACATGTTAGGCAGATATGAAGAAATAGATAGCTAGCTAGCTAGCTAGCTAGCTAGATAGATAGATAGATAGATAGATAGATAGATAGATAGGAAGGAACTGATAGATGATAAGAAGAAATTGATATGAAAATATTAATTGATAGAGAGATAGAAATATAGAAAGATAGATATGAAGATATATATATATATATATATAGATAGATAGATAGATAGATAGATAGATAGATAGATAGATAGATAGATTCTATTTATTATTGTAAAATACAATAAGATAGATGGATGGATGGCCTAAAAAGATGGGGAGTGGGATTGAGGTTAGTCATCCTTGCCTATCCTATACCTAGCTAATCCGATTCACGACACCTTCATTCAATACAAATAACCCATTCACCGAAAGAATTCACCCTTCACCTTTTACTCCTAAATATACCACAATACCACATTCACAAAGGGACCCCAAAAATTAACCCCATGGTTTAAAATCTCTTATGTACAAATGTTATACAGAATTAACCTTATTGTAAAAAAAGATAGATAGATAGCTAGATAGATAGATAGATAGCTAGATAGATAGATAGATAGATAGATAGATAGATTATGTTTTTTTTTATGTACAATTATATTTCTAAATATGAATGATTGTTTGTACAGTACAGAATTTGATTACTCAAAGTTTCTTAATTCGACAAGAAAACTTTATATCCATTAAAATAAATGAAGAATGTCGGAAAAGACGTGTTATTTCGGATTCTAACAAGAAGCTTTTGCTTGCCTAAACCATTCCAAATTATGAATAAACACTTGAGATTTTCGCACAGCAAGCCAATGATAACAAATCATTGATTTAAGGAAAATATTTGTAATTTCCTCTCTACTGCTTTCTGTATTATTTCCTAAAATCTTTTCACTCTCTTCTCTCTCTCTCTCTCTCTCTCTCTCTATCTCTACAATTCTTACGTCTCTCTTTATGCGTGTCTATGTCTCTCCCCTCTTTTCTTGTCTTCTGATTTCACGCTGGGTTCGTCTCCTCTGTAACCACCATCATCATTAAGCTTTCTGTCCTTTATCGGCCTATCGCTGACTGTACCAGCGTCATCAATAACGCCCCATTAGTGACAGACTAATTCAATTTAAACCAATTACTTCCTTCCACTGTTCGTCGTTTTCTCTGATCGGCACGACAAACACCTTCTCCACCCCCCCCCCCCTACAAATTTTTTTCCCGCGTCCCTTTCTGCTATTCTCAGCTCCTTCTCACAATCCCCCGTACGACACTTGGATCATATTATGGAAACTCTTCGTTTTTGCCTTTGCGACGGATAGATATTTGCTTTTCGTTTTCATAGTTACTTGCTATTGTCACGTGACGATTTCCGCGGGAATTCGAGAAGAAGAAGAAGAAAAAAGACAAGAAAGAAAGAAAGAATACACTAATACTAAAAAAAGAAAGAAAGAATGAACGAAAGAAGGAACAACAGAAATAGATAAGAGAAAATAACTAATCTGGAAATAAGGAAGAAAGACTAAAACATAAAATAACAAAAAAAAATATTTACACTATATACTCGTGTATAAGGCTACTTCCTGTACAGTGGGGCCAGTGATTTTTTTGTTTTTGTTTTTGTGAAAACCCTGATTTATTCATATAGCTCGTGTATAATGTGACCCCAGCTTCTGTGCAATAATAGTAGACCTACCGTAGTCAAATATTGAAGTAGTGGGCATTATCCTGGACATTTTTTATAACAAATATAGAGCGTGATGAGAAAAAGGTCGCCATTTTAGATTTTTAATCTTGTGCATGCGCGTTGTTTGTTTTTGCTTTTGCCGAGTGCACAGCATATCAGAGTCAGTTGGGGCACTGTATATGAGAAAAGGAGCACGATGACGCAATTCACTCCACCAGAAATTTGGAAACGGCACACTGTACTGCTTGGCATTCGCGTCGGAAGCTCCAATATGAAAATTTCAGTGTATTTGGGTGTCAGTGCAGAAAACCCGGAAAGTATTGGATGATCTAAAGCTGATTACGCAGCTGTTTGGAGGGATTACGACGTTATGCCTCCATTCTAATAATGCCGCTGTTATACCTCCATTCATCTTCCCTTCAGACTCAACACGTGCCTTAAGGAGGTAGTGCTGCCCTGGGCCAAGGGGATGGCTGCTGGAAGAGCCTATATCTGGCAACAGGACTCTGCACCATGCCACACAAGCAAGAGAACCCAGTCATGACACTCAGACAATATCTGTGACATCACCTCTTACATCTGGCCACCTAACTCCCCAGACTGCTACCCACTTGATTATTCTGTGTTAAAATTTCAGTTGAAGAAGAGACCAGCAAAACTCTTTGTAATACCAAAAATAAGAAAGAAAGAAAGAAAGAAAGAAAGCGAGGGAAATAAAGAAAGAAAGAAGGCAAGCGAAGGAAAGAAAGAAAGAAAGAAAGAAAGAAAGAAAGAAAAAGAAAATAAAGAAAAATACCCTGTCTGATTTTTCTAATTCAAATCGAGTGTTCGCAGATTTTCTTAAACAAATCGATGTTTTCTTCCATTTGGATTAAAAGATCGATATTCATATATATAAATATAATATTTCATATTAAATTTTTTTTTTTTTTTATATTCCTCCCCAGTATAAGGCCGATATATACTCAAGATAGAGATTACTAAAAGATGTAGTTATAAGTGCATTCATCGAGTGTACAATTGTGTATTAATATGTAAGCATAGACAACAATTGACACTAGACTTGAATAGGTTAAGATTATAGTGATCGGAGAAAAATCCACTCGAGAGTCCGTTTCATAATGCAATAATTCGTTGAGCGGGATTTACACCTCACCAGCTTCTTTTTGCTTCTGAAAATATCGTCAATCAGCTAAGGGGCAAATTTTGTATTCAGCCTATAAAGACAAGCTGAAACGCATCTTGTCAACTGTCAATATACGACATAACACCCTTGAGCGCTTAGCCATGGTGCGAGTAGAATGGAGAGCAACGTGTTTTAGTGAACTCAGCAGTTTTCAATCAGCTTGTCTGAATTTTCTTCATGAAGCGAGAGCAAGATCTAAAAGGTCAGCCAATCTAATCTAATCTCACAATCCTCACTCTTGCCCATATGTCTCCTCCTTCGTAAATCACTAGCGGGTCTTAAATGCCACTTAAGATTATCGCACAAAATTTCATAACTGAATCAACTACGCTGTCAGATCCTCATACGTCGAAACCGACAGGAGATTCCATAATTATTATTATTATTATTATTATTATTATATAATAAATGCGTGTGTTAGTATGTTACTGTGGCACACGTTCTCAACCAAAGGGAAACAACTCTCTAATTCAGTAGCTCATCTTAGAGATATTTTTCGGCGATTTTTTACGTGATTTTTTGAGACGATAACAATTTTTATAACGTGGAAATAAATTTGGGAATAATCAAAATTAATTGTGAAATCCAGCGAAAGTCACCCATGAAATAAAAATAATTGTTTTTACGGAAAGTAAGGACCTACGTACATCAAAATGTCTTTCAATTACGTGTCATCTTTTAAAAGATAAGCTGAAATATTAATGCAATACTTAAATGCAGTGATCAATTTTAAGTTCTTCTGTAGTTTATTGTTGCCCATCGCATATGGCAGCGGTATGTCTCGCATAAAGAAATCCCCGCCAACATAGGACCAGATTACAATCAAAGAGCCAAGGCTGCAGCGAGGAAAAGAAAGTCCTGTGAAAATGAAAACCCAGATCAAACGACAGCCAGGAAATGCTGAGAATATGCAACGACTTAGAGACTCTCAAACTCCTAAACAAGCCAAAGGTCTAATCATGAGCCCTCCGCAGGAGGTAACTTAAATGCTGCTCGAGAAGGCGGCTTTTAAGCTTGTAAAATATATTTCAATGAGCACTGTTGAGTTATAGGCTAGTTCTATAAATAACAGCCACCTACGCCAGTGCAAAGCTCATCAGTAAAATGAATTGGAGCACTCCGGCTGATTCCGTCAACCAAGAGACCCCCAGCGCGAAGGTGTATACAGTATAAGGATATAGTCAAGATGTTGACTTTCCTCAGTACTTCAGCTAAAGAGGAAACCATCATCACTAATGGTAACTGCAATAGAAGTTTGTCGACTTGAGAAACCTATTTTCCTTAAATATTGTTTGTTGATTTTGTGTGGAATGAATTGTTACAGTTTTTTGATATTTATGTAATAATGAGCCAGTCAAAAATGAGCTGATTCATTTTATAGTTCACCAATAGAAGGGTTAACCAATCAGAAAGCTCAAAATATTCAATCCGACGTGTATAAAGGCAGCCATTTTGTGTTTTTCTCCCAAAATATCTCCACTGCCAACCTGATATCAAAAACTTAAAGAATTAACAGCCGCAACTTTCTCCGAATCTACACTGCCAACCACTGATATTGAAGAGATTACGAACTTCACTGGATTTCATATTCCGAGACTACGGCAAACATGGTCAACATTGGTTACGAGCCCAGATTACGACTGTATTTTGACGGAAATGAAACCAAGTACGAATTATGGGAAATCAAATTCTTAGGCAACCTTAGAATACAAAAACTTCATGACATCATTCTTTGCCAAGATGACCAGAAAGAAGATGATGATTTTATGGAAAAAAATGAGACCGTGTTCGCCGAATTAATACAATACCTGGATGACAGGAGTTTGTCTTTGATAATGAGAGAAGCCAAGGACAATGGACGACTAGCTCTACGAATATTGCGTGATCATTACTTGTCAAAAGGTAAGCCTAAAATTATTGCTTTATATACTGAACTAATCGCGTTAAGGAGACGAGTAAATGAGTCTGTAACAGATTATATTATACGAGCTGAGAATGTCACAAATGCCTTAAAAATAGCCATGGTCTTAAAGAGATTACCACCGACATTCAAACCATTCACGACAGTTATAACTCAAAAAGATAAAA